ATTATTCTTAAATAAACTTAATATATAGTACAGACCCATTTGATCATGTGCATTAATAATCCAAAAGTATGTTTATATTTTGATAATTTAAGAACTTAATGGTTTCGTTAGCAACCATTTCAAAAATCAATATTTCTTGTTTTACTTCCCATACAGACACACACTCTCCGCCACAAGTGACTTAAGGAAATGAATTATTTAATTATCACTTGAAGGTAGATCGACCTGAATTGTATTTATTTATCGAAGATGTTTGATTTTATTTAAATTTTTTTATCTTTTTATCTATTTCTTATACGACTATATATAAAATAAAATTATTTATATTTAATATATTTATATTGACTCAAAAACTATCGAATTTAGTAAATTTTTTAATTTGTTTAAATATTTTTACGTTCAAGTTAAGTGAATTAAAATCATCCCAAATAAAAAGCAACTGAATTTGTGTGATTTTCTGTAATTGTTAAATATCGATTAATTATAATGAAATTTGCACACACATATATATATATATATATTTAGTAAAAATCTATGTATATAAGGTTTAAATTTATTGCATATAATTACAATTTAGTAATAATTTACGTATAGAGTGTATAATCAACTTAATTTACTTGGACATAAAAAATTTTACTATATGAAATTTTAGGAATAGAGAATTGAGCTTGCACGACGTCGTTTCGTCAACTTTAGCTTTTTTAATCGACTTTAACCTTGTCGATTTTTACTCTCTAGTTTATTTCCCTAATTCCCCTTATGGCCCCAACCGCAGGGAGTCCAAACTCACGGAAGCCAGAACGGAAATGGCGAACCGGCTCCAGTCGCCAACCAGCAAATATATCTTCTCGTGCTCGAATGACGACCAGATAGCATGCGCCGCGGCGCGCGCCGTCGCTATCGTTCTTTATTTTGTTTCTTCTTCAGTTTGCTTTCGCCTGGAAAGAACTAAACATTCGTCTCCCTCTCTCAATCCATTGAGCCAAAAAATAGCCTTTGGATGTGGAAGTTGAACTTCATCACTGCTTCTGGAGGGTGACATGAGAGGATTTTCTTCTTTAGCTTCTAGAGCAACACCTGCACTAAAAAATCTCTCTCAAGAATTATTCAATCGCGGAAAATTTAACGCAGAAAACCCGAGAAATCTCAAAGCTTCGACATTTCTCAATCGCAATCGAACAAGCAGCGTTGAAGCGCATTCAATAGGTAATTTCCATAAGCTCGATTTTGTTTCACTATCGAAGATTCCCACTTCTGCCAAGAAACATGTAAAGCTCATTGATCACAGTTACTTTTCTCGAATTTTATCACGGAAGGACTGGTTTTTGCTGCTAAACCACGAGTTTAAAGCTGGGAGGATAGGTTTGGATCCTCGGTTTGTAGTGAGTGTTCTACAAAATCAAGAAAACGCATTACACTCATTGAAATTTTTTATCTGGGTTGCCAATATCAACGCTTCGATTGCCCAGAACCAGTCTGTTCGGGGCGTCTTAGCTAATGCACTTTATCGGAAGGGTCCTATTTTACTATCTGTTGAAGTGCTTCGAGATGTCAGGAACTCGGGCTGCGTAGTTACGGAGGATCTGCTCTGCGTTTTGATTGCTAGCTGGGGCAGGTTGGGATTGGCTAAGTACTGTAATGATTTTTTTGGGCAGATTTCTTTTTTGGGTATTAGTCCTAGTACAAGATTGTATAATGCCATTATTGATGCATTGGTGAAGTCCAATTCCCTTGATTTGGCTTATTTGAAGTTCCAAGATATGTCAAGG